TTACCGAAAATTATCAAACAAGCAGATACGCAACAATATATTTTGAAAACAACTTGTATTCACATGACTTTTTTCACTTTTTTGGACAGAGATCCTTTTTGATTATGTTGTACACTATTGCCTGGGACATGTGAATGGCCATGGATTCTCACCTGTTTCAAGATACCTTGTAGGTCTCTTTCTGAATAGTCCTTGTGTCCCAAGAGTGGATCTGTAATAATTTTTTTTTTCCAATTCCATTAAGTAAAAGGGATATGCCTATCTTGAAAATTCTAAATTCCCGATCTTTATGATCCCATTGTATGAATATTTTGCATCAGAAGGGGTTATTACATACTCCAAAAAGCAATATGTTTTCAGTGACATCACTGTTCCTACATAACACCAAACATATCAAAATGTAGTTCTGATACAGTCCATTCCACTGTAGATTTAAGGTTGTCATGTGACTCACTGATTTGTATATTGAAACCTGTTTTAATATAACATACTCAACCTTCTGTTAATGCTTTTTTTCTTTCTTTTAACAAGCATATTAAACTATTTATTGAGTACAATGTAATTAAAAACATTATTTTAATCAGTGTTATCAGAAAATGGTAATCTTGGTAAATGGAAAGTAATTTAACCATTTAAAGTTTGTCCAAATTAATTACATTGTTAATTAATAACAATGCAAAGTGTAATGCTATAGAAACTTCTAGTTAAACAATTTCTGTTTTTTATATGTGTAATTTCATTATTTATTGAAGATATTAAAAATTTTAAGACTAAGACCACACAAATTTTGTATTAGAAATTAGGTTTTTTCTACTTATAAATCAGTATTTAATAGTAATTACATAAATAATAATTACTTTTAATGAGGTACTGCCAATGTTTTTAGGATTTACTTATCTTAGTTATCTCATAAATATAAACATAAATTTGTAATTTGGAGACAACTTATTTCTGCAAGAGTGCTAAATATGTTTGAATTAAATATTAGAAGCAGATATAAAAATTTTAAGTTAATCATGTAGTTTTAGTGTAAATAATTCTTTAGCTCTGATCAATTTGATATATAAGAAAGTTATTAATATGCAGCTAGTTCAAAGGGTGTGTGACAAGCTGAAGTTGGGAGAAGAAAATAAAAATGACATCATACTTATAAACCTGAATGGTAAGTTGATTGATTTCTCTAATTAGTTGTCATAGCTTCTGGCTATCATAATCAACCCTGCATATTATTTGTCAATATAATATTGAAACATCTGTACACAAGTTTTCTATTGAAATTTATGTGTTAGGTAAATATTATTTAAAAATCTCCAATTCTGACAAGGTACCTTACTTCCACTCACATACATAGCTATTCTTGTTCAGTGCTGCCCTCTATTTGCAAAACTTTTTTCACATGCCACAAACCTTTCACTCCCTTGTATCTGCATGTAATTTATCATGCAACAAACCTCTACCAATAGTAGTGCCGCACACCAACGTGACTCATGTGACTCCCTCTATGGTGTTCTACCTAACTATCACTTCTTGTTTGGCAGTACTTCATTATACATTTTTTTTCTATTTTTTATTTCTTTCTCCCAACACGGTTGTGTTTGCTTTTTCGTTTTGAATTATGAATTTTAAATTACCATTTCGGAGGTTATATCTTCTGTCAGCACATTTACACAGGCTTCAGGTGGTGTCCATCAACTGGGGAATTATCAGCTTCATTAGAAGATTGATCGTCCAATGAGCTGACCTTCGTTGGGCCTCGACTTGAGTTTGGGAACCCACACATTTTGAAATACAGTCCTCTGACTTTAGAAAGATAAGGTGTTATACTGTTATGGCTTTTGAATATTTTTACTGTTAATATTATTATTTGTGGTTATTTGGGTTCAAATTTGGGTTATATTTGTCAATACTCATGGTCAAGTTCAAGTGTCAAATTAAAGCTTAGTTTTATCCTTTGTCCTTTAACATTAGATTAGGCTTAACACTTACTTAAATTTATACATTATTTCATTTTCATAATTATTTATAACTTATACTTCTTAAAATTAATTTAGTTTGTGAGGAACCCTTGGGTCTACCCTACTTTCTCCCAATATTACTCGCCTTCTTCCTACAACTGCTGAACATATTTAGGACGACTTAGATTTTGTCAGTTTTCCTCCGTCTGATTATGGTTTTCCTTCCCAGGCCTCTACCGAAGAATATGCTAGGTGTACCTCAGCCTTTTTTTAGACATGTTTCACAGTATAATTTTCCCCTCCTTCTCCAGACATTATGTTTGATGATGAGCATTTTTTCTCTTTTGGGAGAGGGTAGATGCATGCTTCACCCTCTACAGGCTTTGGTTCAGTTTGCCTTAGCTTACCATTAGGCATATTTTCTTTGTTATTCTATGTACTTAGAGTCTCTGTCACCTTTATGGGGACAATTTCTGTTAATCCTATCCATTTTATCCCTCACCTAGTTTACCAGCTTCATGTTACCCTATCGACTCTCCTACAGGAAATGTCCACCTTACACCTCTTTTCTTAGGCATTGCACTTATGTCTAGGGGATTTTCCTGGGATACCTCTTCCTCCTTCCCTCCATGTTGGGATGTTTTCCATCTTCAGTTCTCCACACATGGCTTCTTTGCTTTTTGGATGGGACACTGTCTTGAACCATTTGTTTACCATCCACTTCAAATAGGGACTTATGGTTGGCTATTTTTCTACACCACTCCTTTTTTGGGGGCTACTCCTGGGCATTTAGCATCATGTGGAGTATCTGCAATGCTATATTCTATTCTTTTGGTTTCTCTTTTGTTACATTCTGAGTCATTCCCATCTTTATTCATGTTCCATGTGTGTCACCTTCCTGTCCTACCTATGAATTTCTTCATTTGTTGTGTATGCTCGATGCTGATTGGAATCCTGGATCAATCGGTCCCACCTCAATCACATCTTGGTTTTTATTGTTTTAATATGTAGTCTTTGATCACAATCTGCTGGGAAATTTAAGCATGACTGAGAATGCTCATACTACATGTACTTACTTTTTGTTTTTCAGGACACTTATCTTAGGTTGTTTTACCACGTGAATCGGTACCAGATTCTTGCCTTGCCCTTCAAACTTCTTTCAGTTCTGTATGTCTTTTGTCGGGTGTTCTGTGTTTTACCCAACTGCTGCATTTTGGGTATTTTACTAACACCACTACTTGGATGTCTGGCTTCATTTAGATCCTTTCGAACAGAGGTGGTCATAACATATTCATCTGCTTCTTTACACAAGTGCTCAGATGGTTGGATTTTCTAGTTAGATCAGTTTATCCTATTACCTACCTAACAATCATGGATATTGGAGGAGTGTCTTTTTAATCATCTACCTCTGTCGAGACCATCCATTCTCTTTCTCAAATGCATTTGATGGAGCTTTCTCTTATCTATGCTTTTACAGTTCACTATCTTACAGCTAGTGAGGTTTTAATGCATTGGGGGATGTGGCTTCTTTGGAAGCACTTTTTATTTTGAGTTCAGCACATTTGCTATCTTTTCAGCAGACACTGCACAATCCATGGTCTCTTGCTAGGGTTCCTTTGGATTCTCATCTTAATTTTCCTCCTTCCCACTCTTTGACTATATGCGTTGGTGGTTGAACATATCCCCTATGTCGTCGGGTTTATGATTCCTCTCCCTCGTCCAGATTTTTTCTCTTCCCTGACAGCCATCTCCAAAGTTGGTGGGCATGGGTTGACCAGCAGGAGGCTTCAGCACAATGGTCTACGGACTAAAGGTCTTACCATGTTAACACCCTGGCACTTCTGGCAGTCCACTGTGCTTTAGTTACTCTCTTCCTCTTGTCTAGATTTGACTAATCATGTTTCATTCTGACTATTCAATGGTGGTGGTAGCTTATATCACTCACCAAAGGGGCTCTTGTCCTTGTTACCTTTATGGTAGACAGTGGATCTCCCTTTTAGAATCCACACACTTGACATATGTCTCCTAGCATTTTGTGTTCCAGGTGCTTTTGTTCTTTTTGCAGATCGCCCTTCCAGCCCAGACACACTTTCTCCCATGGAGTGGCCTCTTGATCCTCATATTTTTGGTGGTTCTTCTTCCTGTGGTGTACTCCTCCATGGGAAGCATTTGACTCCTTTCTCGATTCCAAGTTACCTCTTTTGTTTTTAGTGTCCAGTTCATCATCCACTCACCCACGCTGTCGATACGTTCAGAGAGTGTTAGATCCAATTCATAACTTTAGTTTTTCTCATTCCATCACTCTTCTTTCCAAGGGGATTTTGATCATCCATGTCACCCTGGGTCATGTCTTTCTAACTGATTCTTCCAGATCTGTGCCAGTCATTGGGTTTGGCTTGTGATTTGATTGGCCTTTTATTCCTTGTCTCCTTCTTCCTGTAATCAATTCCTGGTGTCTTCACCCTGTTCAGGCACGTTACCTTTCACCTGCATCTTAACCCCCTTGACCATTGGAGGTACTTCGTCTGTCGATTACTGGAACTACACCTGATGCGTTCATCTCCTATTATTTGCTGTGAGTAGCTGTTCCTTCCTTTTTGGGGTACCGTCTTCCACCTTTTGCCATCCTGCACTCTTTGGTGAAACTGTAACTGGATAAGTTTTCTTTCTTTTGTTATATATATTGTTTTCCAGGGATCTGTCCCATGTTTTGACCAGGATACTGCTCTGTGGTGAGTGGTGCCTGTCCAGGTATATTTCAATCACTTAGAATTGCACTAAAACCCACCTAGAAGGCCGTGTTGACTTCACTTTCTTAATTTCATGGCCACAAAATGCACACTTCATTACAGTCACGCAAACTAGAGATGGGGTGCTCCACAAGATCACTCATAGGTTATTCCTCATGATATTTTTGCTTCATAAATGTGCCCTTTCCAGACCATACTAACCCATGGACTTCATGGTTAAAGCAGAAGGGGATTGCTGCCCATCCTTGCCATACCTTAGATTGAATAAATTGGGTTTGGTCTGCTTTTCAAAATAGGGTTTCATGGTCTCATATTGCCCTGTGTCTGATGTGTTCCTTCCCCTGGACTCTCCACTTCACCCCCCCCCCTCCATTTCTTCGAGTGCAGTAAGAGCGTTCTTACCACTTTTTAGTTCCAAGCTGCTGGGATGGTGGATCATGGAGGTATCCTCCTGAATGGGAGATATACAAGATAAACAATGAAGACTCCATTCAGTTGATAGTAGGGCAATGATATTCTGCTGGTGTAGATGATGAGATGTCCTCAAAATGGATGCTTGATTTCTGCATGGGTTTGTCCAATGGGTTGTTATAGCATTGGAGTGAGTTGTTATAATGATAGGGATCCCTCATCATACCTCTGCATGGTATTTGGTTCCCAGCAGTTGAGTTTGGATTTAGAGCTGAACCAATCACCATATGTTCTCACATATATCTTACAATTGGGATCCCTCATCTGACTCCCGCATGGATGATGGTTCCCGGCAGCTGAATTTTGGATTTAGTGCTGAACCAATCAACATGTTGTACTCACACATATAGTGTGTTGGCATAAATGCAGTTAACTCCATCCATTGGGATTCCTCATCCTACCCCTGCATGGATGTTGGTTCCCAGTGTTTGAGTTTTGGATTTAGAGCTGAACCAATCAATGTAAGTCCTTGCACATGTGTTCAGGTTGTTCCTGGTCCTCACTCAATTTGCCTCGAGTGCACTACCCCATTGTTGTGGGTCATGGTGAGTCACTTGTTGGTTGTTCCGCTTCTTCCTCTTGCACTGCTCCTCAATGCTTTAATGCAAGGATGTTACTCTATTTGAGGTGGTTCCAGTCTGTTTGATTTTAGTAGGATATACATGTATGTTATTTCACTCTACTCACAGGTGCCCTGTTCACAGATCAGTGGAGGGATTTATCCTTCCAGTCGGCTTAACTTGATGTGAAGACAGTGTGATTTTTCTTTCTTTCACCTACATGGATATCGGTTCCTGGCAGTTGAATTTTGAATTGTAGTTGACTCATTAATGGTATAATTCTTGTCCTAGCCCCCGCATGAATGTCAGTTCCCGGTGGTCAAATTTTGGATGCAGTTGACTTGCAGTGTATGGTTTGTCATACCATAGCCAGTCTAAACCTTGGGGCACATCCATTATATTACCCACATTCTGTTCATTAGGGAGATTGAAATTATAATAATGTGGTTAGGATCACTATCCAACCATTTTCTCTCCCATTGGAGTGTGCTACTCAGAATTTTCCATACGGATCTGTCACATCTGTGGGAAGAGTATACCTGGTAAAGAAATCTCCCTCATATAATCCTCTTATTTGAGGGTTCCCTCATTAGGGTGTCCTTCGGACACTTTTTAAGGATGCTTGTACTTTCTCCCTCACACTGGTCCCTCCACCTATTCAATCTAGGATTTTAGCTATGTACCTTGTTAGAAGTTATAATTTTCCGACACTGAAAATGTATATCCGACAGGTATTACTTCTGCTCGTACTTCCCACCTTTTCTCCCCACTGTCAACTGGTGCTTACGTTTCTGCCTAAACTCGGAGTGATAGGTAGAATAGCATAGAGGGAGTCACTTGAGTCACATGAGTGTTTGGCACTACTATTGGTGGAAGTTTATCACATGCTAATTTGCATGAAAGAATCAGTTAAGCCATTTGAATCGAGAGGTGTATGGGAGTGAAGGGCTTGTGGCATGTGAAAAATTTTTTTCAAATAGAGGACAACACTGAACAAGAATGGCTATGTATGTGAGTGGAAGTAAGTTCCTGTTGGAAATACATTTTCAGTGTGGGAAAATTATAACTTTCATGTTACAGGCTTAGGCTTACAAGCCTGATCAAGTACATGTGTAGCACAATAATGTATCATATTAATTAATTTAATTGACCAGTATGTATTGCAGAAAGTACTGATTTTAACTTTTTGCTAATTAAAAAAAATTGCACTTGAGAGTTGTAACTATTATGCTGTGAAGTAGTTTTATTTCCATAACAACAGTCTTCAAAATCCTGGAAAGATGACAAAAAAGCAATACAAATGTTTGTAGAAATAGGAAGCAAATTCTGAATGTAAAATAAGAAAAGTGTATATTTACACTGGAATTTTAAAGGAAAGCAAATTTAATAGGTGATACATATGCACTTCATTGCAACAGAAAGGTAGTAAAAAGGAAATCAAATGTGTTACATCACATGTGTTGTCTGTGGTGTTGAATGCTAAAATTTGGCAAATCCTTAAAAAACATCAATAGGTATATTGTTGATGATAAAAACAATTAGGCTAGGTTAATAATTCCCTTCCATATGTTGAAATTTTCAAACAGTAAAACCCATGTTTTGGATCTATCTTTTTGTCTGCTTCCTGTTGTTGAACAATAGGTCTTTCATGCTGGATTAATTCATGTACTAAGCTATAGCATTATAGCTAAAAGTACTGTAATGCTATTTATCTATGCATACCAAAAAGCCTAATATTTATGATAAATATCACACTAAATCACAGGTGTTTTTTTTTTCACATTTCTCTTAACTTGCTCATTGCAAATTACAGACTGTTTGTAGTATTAGAGGATTTATAATTTAGTAAAAATATTTGTTCATGGAAAGAAAATAGGTATAATCCAAGAATGTTTTACTAAATCAGTTTTATAACTACATCATTTATTTCATTATTAGTGTTTAGATTTTAGTAATCTTCAATAAAGATGCTATTGGTTTAACTTTTGTTTGATAGAAAAATAAGTTAATAAATTTAATTAATTATTATCATACATGTATTGTGAAAGTGCAATTGCAGTTGTTTTTGCTACCTGGTGTAAGTTGATATTCTGTTTCTTTTGAAATTAAAATAATATCTTGAATAAACAAATTAAAAATCTGTAATATATTTGTTCTAAAGCATGTTCATAAAATTTATATCATTGTTTCAAAGTATTTCTGATTTTTATGAACTTTTAGGTTTGATCCTAAATGATGATAGAGTGGCCCTGAAAGATATCACCAGACAACTTCATTTAGAAAATGTTGTGGGAGACCGAGTTTTTGTATGTATGAAAATCTCAGAGCAGAAGAATTTGTAGTTAACAAGTATAATAAGAGCAATAGTAATTAGGTATCCTGATAAACTCTGAATAGTAAGGACTTTACACTTACAGGGAGAAAGTGACAATTTTTTCTTAAGATCAAAAGTAATAAAAAAAATCTTAAGAAATTTTTGATCTTATTTTAAAGAAGAAAACAACAGTGTTTTTGTTAAGATGCCTGTTAAAGTCTTGTATTAGAAGAAAAAAGTTACTTTCATTTTAAAATGAGAAACATCTGTTTTCATGTAGGTAGATGGGAAAAACTAACATGTGAAAAAAATGTACTTATGATGTTGGAGAAATAGTACACCAGAGAAATTTAGTTGTGATTTTGATATTAATCAACAGCTAGAGCATTGCTCATTTCTGTGTAACCTACTCCATTTATTGTCTCATTGTAAACAAACCATTTTATTAATGAAGTTTAACACTTTTTTGGGATTTCTATTATCATTGTGACGAGTTAAAAATTTTGGCAGAAGAAACTGCAAAATGAGAAAGAAACTTATAAAGAGCAATTGGACAACCCATATTCTAACCTTAATGGTGAAGAAAAATAGGCAGTTTCCATTGCAAAATGCTCTGTCCTAATGCTATAATGTGCAAACCACACATTGATCAAAGTGTAGATTGAACTGGACCTCCACTGAACTTAGACTTCGAAATTAAACAATTTTTGGAATATTAAGTTTATTTACTAGTGCTTCAAGTTGAGCCATATTCTTTTGTTTTCAAATGCTATTAAGTACAATCGATATCCCAATCTTGAAAATTCTAAATCCCCAATTTGAACATATTGAACACTTTATGATCTGAGTGTATAAATATTTTGCGTTGGAAAGGGCTGTTACGTGTCCATACCAAAAGTGATAAATTTTTATTAGAGCTGGATAATTAATCAATAAAATGTATTACCTATCAGAACCAATTACATCATTTAACAATCTCTATTCAATGCAGGTGTTAAGGGAAAGAGCATTATTCTATGTGAGGCCACATAGTGGATTCTATTTCTTCTATAATATGATTATATACAAATAATACAGTGGTTGGAGAGCTGTAAAAAATAAAATAATTAACACCTATTCTTCTTACATCCTGCAAGATCTCATTCAGTAGAAAAGAAGCCATAAGATGAGGAACCTAATGGGAGGTAACATGAAAAAGGCTAAGTGTCGTCACCCACAGAAGAATAAACTAGCTGGATGAGATGTGTAACTCAACTGTTCAAAGTCAAAGGAGATAAGTTATGAGAGCATGAGGAATTACACAGCAACAAAACTGTATCAAAAGGGGAACAGTGAAGGCAAGATAACAAAAACTGTCCATACATAAGCAAAAAAGTTATACAGTAATGCTTGGAGATGGCTTGAATGGGTAATGAAGAAAAACTTGAATATAAGTTTAACATAACAGAAAATGTACAACGTTTTGACAGGGTTTTGTCATCATCAGGTACCTTAGTCTCAAAGTGGATTCCTCATCATTGAATAAAGGACAGTGTTCAGTCTACCTTCCACCTGACTAGTGTCTGTTGTCCCTGTTTGTAGTAACCCATTGTACTGTATCACTGATTCATTGTGCAGGTGTGATGATTCCTATTAGGCTTGAGCCTCTCTCTAAAACTCTTATGCAAATTCCTCCCTCCAGGTTTCTTATAGCGGATGAAAGGGAAAACACTTGCTTTCCCAGTCTCAAGCTGCTGGGGATGTCATTATTGAGAATTCCCTTTCAGATTGGTGTAATTCCACTGGTATGAAACCAATGGAAGGTATTTCTCATTTGGAAGTAGTGTTGTGGTGTTTACCTGGAAGTGTAGTACAGTATGAACCAGACCAGTTCTATGGTTATTCCAGATGGATGGTTTTATGTTTAACCCAGGATGAAGGTCTCAGATGATTCTGCCCTGAACCTGTTTAATCTGGTATTTCTCACATTCATGCAATGCCAACCACCTGAGATATACTGGCTGGTTTAATAATCTTTACATTTCACTTACCTATGCAACATTTTAACACCATGCAGGAGGTTCTTTGGATATTACCTTTTGCTCTACCACCTATATTTGGCATAGGTTATTCTCTGCATGAGATGGCTGCACTTTTGCTCTGAGTGATGCTCCAGTAGGTCTGTCTCCTTGATAGTGTGTGAATGTTCCATGAGTTTTCCATTTCTGATGCTACATTTTTTAAGAAGGAGCTCATATTTTTAATATCTTTATGTACACTAATTCATCCACCATTTTATCAATGAGGGATTCTAGCTTTCAGTTCTATGAGAGGTAAGTAGTGTTTCTGATGTTATCATTTTCTTTACCTGAAAATGTAAGTGGTGTAAGATAATGAGTATCAGTTTTGTGGAGAAGTGAATATCAGTATTAAATAAATTTTTCACATAAGGAACTTGTCTACTTGTTAAAATGATTTGTATTGTTGACATAGAAAGGCATAACCTGTCATGTTGGTTGCAGTTCATGTAGAGATTACTAATGAAGTGGTTTTAACACTAATGGAGACAATACTTTGTTGATCATGGTCAAAATGGTAACTTTGAGTAAGTTATGAAGAATTTTGCAGTAGGAGCTGTAGTTGCCCAGATAGAACATCCTCTGTGAATGCCCATATGACCAAAAGTTTGAACTACTCCAAAGACTACCTACCTGTTAGCACTTCCCAGCATCTTTATATAGCTACTCTGACTACTTGTGAGTGAACAGGCCCTCATGTATTTGTTGTGCCAAAACAATTGTCACAGATGTCTCCTCACATTTTTTTACTCTGGACAGGAGGACTGAAGAATCTGCTTTGGTCATGACAGATGGAATTACCTGTAATGTATTAGACAGCAAGACATACAAAATTTGCAGTTCTCTTAATCTGTGCAGCAGATGAAGTATAGATGAATGCAAGCTATGGGTTTGACCACCAACCTAGAGAGACATTGTAGTCAGCTTATGTCCAAATATTTGGTGGTCAGCTCAGCTTGTGTATGTACATGCAATAAAGATATGTGAGAAGGAGGTCAAGTACCTGATTGATACAGGAGCTACCAGAATAATATCCAACTTGAGATGTATCAAGCATATTGAGCAAGGCCATTACTTAGTTTTGTCAGTGTAAATTTCATTCTGGTGTATAGTTGCATATTTCAGTGTGCTGCTTAAAATCTGGAATGGTTCTTCAGCAGAGAAAGAGGGCACACTTGAAGTTAAAATCAGAGAAGTGTTCATTATTGCATATATAGGTGAAATTCCTCAGTAGCATTATAAAAAGGTACGGAGTCTTGACATACCCAGCAAAGATTCCATTGGTTAGTGTTTGGTCTGTGAGTAAATGAAAAATCTGCAATTTCCAGGTTTTAACATATTATTGATGTTTTGTGGTCAATTTCTCCAAGGTTACTGCACCTTTGTAGTCACTAAATCCAAAATGCATATTAGGTAGGCTAAAGATTAAGTTGGTTGGATTTGGTCTGTTGTTTTGAAAATGAAAAATCTAATGTCTTCTAGGCTTTGCAACATACTGTTAATAATTTATGGCCAGTACATTTCACCTTTCTCTGCACTGAATCCAGTATGCATTTAGGTGGGCTGAAGAACCTCTGGCCATGCATTTTAGTTACTAAAGTGTGCTTTAGTGGATGCTGCAAGAGTTTAATGGTGGCTGCCAAGTATAAATTTCATTTATCATTGAAACTCATTTTTGAGACTGTTTTTAAAATTTTTTTGACAATGATTTTGAGCTAGTAGAAACATAGGAATTAGTTAGAAGAGAAGACTGGCATTGACACCTCTCCATTTCAGTTTGTTTTGAAGTGGGTTGTGAAGAGTAGTCATGTAACCTAATCACTGCATAATAGCGGAAGGAAGAGAAAGAAGTAGTAGCTTGATAAGGGGAAGGATCTATTTGAAACTTCAGGAAAACTATGCTTTCTCTGCAAATGAAAAGAAAGAAGGATATTCAATAAAATGAGTCTGAAGAGATGGAGATGAGGGACATATTTAGAATGCTAATGTAGAAAAAAATCAGTAATTAAGAAGCTGAAGAAAATTGAACTAAGTGAAAAGTGGAAAAGATGACAGATTTAGAGGAGAAAGTCATAAGTATGAACAAGGAAATAATAAGGCTAAAAAGTAATATTGAAGGACATGAGAATTGTTCAAGACAAAATAATTTGGTAGTTAAGGGACTTAAAGAACCCAATCAAAAATCTTGGGAGCAATGTGAACAATTAGTAAAAAAAGAATTGGAAAAGAAGATGAAGGTTAAAATAAACAAATTGGAACGTGTGCATAGAGTAGGAAAGAAAATGTGAGGAAGAAACAGAACAATTCTAGTTAAGTTTAATGAATGGGTAGAAAAGGAAAAGTTATTGACATCAAGAGCAAAACTCTTTTTTTGATGAAGATTATGCACTGGAAATGAGGAAGATTCAAACAATGTTATGTCAGCTGGCTAAGGATGTATGAGAAAAAGGAAGTGAAACAGAATTGGGATTTTAGAAATTGTGCATATAGATAGGAAATGGTGGAAGTAGAATAAAAAAGAAGGAAACTTGCTGAAGAGAAAGAGAAAGGCATGGTGTGGGAGGATAAATCAAAATAAGATGTATGGAAAGTATAGACCACTCACCAATGAATAGGAACTCAAAATCTGATTGAAACCTTGGAAGAAACTAGGAAAAGACCCTTGAAACGAAACAGGAACAGGGTAATGCAGACTTTAACCTGAGATAAAAGAAAAAAAAAATATTGAATGTGGCAGGACTTTATAACAAAAATGATAATTTTTGGGACTATATTTATAGTTCTGATATTATTGTTTTAGTTGAAACTTGGGTTGAGAAAAATGGGAATCAACATCGGCAAAACAACTAAATGAGGGATATGAATGGTATTTTAAGGAAGCTGTTAAAGAAAAAACTGAAGGGAGATGAAAAGGTGGACAACTTGTTGGAATTGC